GAGAGAGAGAGAGAGAGAGAGAGAGAGAGAGAGAGAGAGAGAATGCGCGCGCGCGCGTGTGTGTTTTTGTGTTTTTGAAAAAGTGAATTAACTTAAGCTATTGGTGCAGTCAATTTCGAGGGCAGTCAGGTTTTTGTAGTGTATACCAAATTTCTTCTGTTTCCTAATGACTTGGTTTTTAACCCATGAAGAAAGATATTATCACCTGATTATTTTGTGCTTCTCGACCTCTCCTTTCAGACAGACAGACAGACAGACAGACAGACAGACAGACAGACAGACAGACAGACAGACAGACAGACAGACAGACAGACATGCAGGCATGCAGGCAGGCAGGCAGGCAGGCAGGCAGACAGGCAGGCAGGCAGGCAGGATGGCAGACAGATAGATAGATAGATAGATAGATAGATAGATAGATAGATAGATAGATAGATAGATAGATAGATAGATAGTAGAGGTTTTACGGTGCTTGCAACTGCATTAGGTCATATATGAGCCCCAGAAGATTAGAGGTCAGTGTTACAAGAGAGTAACAAACATAAAAAAGGAGAAGGAAAGATAAGGACGATAGATGTTTGATAGGAAAGAAGAAGCAAACCACACCAGAGCACCAGCCAACCACCACCCACGAACAGACAGACAGACAGACAGACAGACAGACAGACAGACAGACAGACAGACAGACAGACAGACAGACAGACAGACAGACAGACAGACAGACAGACAGACAGGTAGGTAGATAGATAGATAATACAACAAGATTTTAAAAGCTAAAAGAAGGGGGAAAGTTAATTTAATTAGCAGACAAGGAAGGGAAAGATAAAGTGAATCTGAAAATGACGTTTTTTGGCTTTGTTTTTATTTATTGGGCACATATACATCACATCAAGATCACGAACACAGTACTATGTAAAGAAAGACTAACCACAACTTTTTATTATATTATCTCTCTCTCTCTCTCTCTCTCTCTCTCTCTCTCTCTCTCTCTCTCTCTCTCTCTCTCTCTCTCTCTCTCTCTTACACACACACTGTCTTTCACTAACTTTCAATCTAGCCACTTTGTAATCAGTGCCTTTACCTCTCATTCTCTCTGTATCACCCTTTCTCTTTCTCTCTCTCTCTCTCTCTCTCTCTCTCTCTCTCTCTCTCTCTCTCTCTCTCTCTCTCTCTCTCTCTCTCTTTTGGACCTGCTCTAATTCAGAACAATATTACAACATTGGCATCAGTTTATCAAAGGCGTTGTATAAAGCTTCAAACTAGAAAGCTTAACAGTGAGAAGTCGAGACTGTCTTTTAACTATCTTTAGAACGCCACAGACGGGATCCAAACGTCTCAGAGAAGACAGGACAGGTCCGGGTGCAGCTCCAGAGCCTCAGTGAGGAACTTGTCCAGGGTCCATCTCCTGTCGGGTTCCGGAACAAGAAGGTTTCTCAACAAGGCAGCGTACTGCGGGGGGATGTTGTCTAGGTGATCCAAAGGCTTGTTCTTGACTGGACACAGACTAGACAGTACCTGCCACATGCTGACAGCCAGGCTGTAGGTGTCCAGTTGGAATGGACAGAAGGGACCACCCTCCTGGTCCGCCTCGGGTCCCCGGAAACCAGCTGTCCACGTGTCCACCTGGTCACATCCCTCAGGGAGTAGACTCGCAGCACCAAAGTCAGAGATGAAGGCAACGTGAGAGTCAGTGAGGAGGATGTTCTGTGGCCTCAAATCCTGATGATAAATCTTCTTCTTGTGCAGGCTTCGAAGAGACACCGCCGTCTAGGGGAGGTAGAGGAAGGGGAGATTTTGTTAGTGTTTAATTTTAATTTTCTAATGAATGTCCTAATCTAACACCGTGAAATCAAGTAAGAGACGAGAAGTTGCTACGGGTCGAACAAGATAAATAGACCGGAAAATTTAAGTAGACAGGGACATATAGATCTTGGCAATTTTTACTCATATTAAAATGCCTTTTGATAAGAAAGTATTTTTTCTTTTAAAAATATGGGACACCTCTAACTTCTAAATTGAATCAAAGAAATGCAGTGTATTAATATTGTTGATGAGATACAACTTTAAACTTCAAAGCATTATGATCCCTAGGGAAAAAGGTAGAGAGAGAGAGAGAGAGAGAGAGAGAGAGAGAGAGAGAGAGAGAGAGAGAGAGAGAGAGAGAGAGAGAGAGAGAGAGAGAGAGAATTATAAATAGTAATAAATAGTATAATGAAGGTTTTTATATAGCGCTTAATCAGGAGAAGACTCTAACCGCTGTACAATGCAGAACTATCATTTCGCTAACAAATTAAAAAGAAGAAAATGGACATTTTGGAGACCATTAAAAACACACCCATACGCATATAAACACACAAAACCCCCTGGCACACACACACTTTAACACATTCAACATTTACAGACAGAGGATAGTACTGAAAACTGAGCAAATGTGTCCTTAGACCATTAAAAAACTCTCTAATGGCATATGCATTTCATTTAGGAGGGAAATCCAAATGCAAGAGGCATAGAAAGAAAAAAGCTCTTCCTCCTAAATTGTCAGAAAGAAGGCGAAGAGGCAGAGAGAGAGAGAGAGAGAGAGAAAGAGAATTAGAGAGGGAGAGAGAGAGAGAGAGAGAGAGAGAGAGAGAGAGAGAGAGAGAGAAAGAGAATTAGAGAGAGAGAGAGAGTGACAGAGAGTGAGAGAGAGAGAAAGAAGAGAAGAGCAAGAGAGAGAGAGAGAGAGAGTGAGAGAGAGAGAGAGGGGGGGGAGAGAGAAAGAGAGAGAGAGAGAGAGAGAGAGAGAGAGAGAGAGAGAGAGAGAGAGAGAAAGAGAATTAGAGAGAGAGAGAGAGTGACAGAGAGTGAGAGAGAGAGAAAGAAGAGAAGAGCAAGAGAGAGAGAGAGAGAGTGAGAGAGAGAGAGAGAGGGGGGGGAGAGAGAAAGAGAGAGAGAGAGAGAGAGAGAGAGAGAGAGAGAGAGAGAGAGCGAGAGCAAGAGCAAGGGAGAGAGCAAGAGAGAGAGAGAGAGAGAGAGAGAGAGACTAAGCAAGAGAAAGAGATGGGAGAAGAGTAATCTTGCTCATTTGGATGGTATCCAAACGTTCTAAAACACGACTGAATTATCATTTTCTAATTAATATCCTAATCTAACACACCGGGGAATCATGTATGAGACGAGAAGTTGATCAATTAAAAAAATAGACTGGTAAATATAAGTAAACAGGGACATACAGATCTTGACAAATATGACTCATATTAAAATGCCTTTTGATAAGAAAGTATTTTTTCCTTTTAAAAATATGGGACACCTCTAACTTCTAAATTGGATCAAAGAAATATTAATATTGTTGATATATATATATTGCAGAAATATAAATAAACTGATATAATTTGAGACTCATTAGTTATTAATTAATGTCACTTTCATGCTCCTGCAAATCTTAAATGTAAGAGAAAATCAACAAGAATTGGGAGAAACAATATACATTGAAGTTACAAGAATAATATGAATGCACTCACCCTGACAAACACTTTCATCCATCTGTAGTAGGTCAGTTTCCCTCTTTGCGAGAGCATGAGGATATAGCCGGTGGGTCCACAGATGACGGGATAAGACAACAAAGTCACAACTCCACGTATGTCAACAGCCAGTTTCATCAGACACAGCTCGCGGGTGAAGCGATCTCTATCCTCATCAGAGAGAAGGGGCATCTGCTTGATAGCGAATTTCTTGTCAGGGATGATGTTGCTCCTCGCCAAGAGAATCTTGCTGCGTTGTCCTTGGTGCAAGACGGACGAGTAATGGATGCGGTTGTAGTGGAAGACATCTTCCTCTTTATGCAGCTGGATGACACGAATCTGCTCCACAGAACTCATTGTGAAATGAAGAAATACTCGGAAGTGATCAAAGACTGATTAAAAGCCTGAGAAAAATCACCAGGAACCAGATGGGGATTCTGAAGATTGCAGTAAAAGCCGGCGCACTTTTTGAATATAGTGATGACAACGTGGACTCATTAAAACAGCAATACAATGCACTCTACACTCGACAACGAGGGTAAAGAAATGGTACAGACAAACGTTTTGCCAGAGTATAAAAATGATGACAAACGAAGCGTCACATTTTGGCGGGAGTTAAACCCAAAGTTCTGATTGGTTAAAGGGCCACGCTCAGCTGTCAATCTTCTTTTGTTGAAACGTCGAACTTTCCAGAAATTCAAGTAGTTCTCACGGCTCGTGGCCAGATTACACAACTGCCGGTAGCCTCAAGGGGGTAGCGTCTAGGTGTCCAGTCATCCATTACGCCTGTGTCGTAATCTTCATCGACGCTGACCAGGTGTCAACCTACAGCAGTAGTCACGTGGTGGGATTACGGGCACAAAGAAAAAAATAAGTTTCATGACATCACAATGGGCAGTTTCTTTAAGGCACCAGCCATGGCTTGAGAACACCAAGGAACAAAAAATGTTAGTGGATAGTCTTTATGTACCCTGACCACTTACACGTGAACAATTGTTAAAAGGTAATGAAAATATTGAGATTTCAACAATGTACGGAGACAGGATTTCTCTTTTCGAAAACATTGTTGTGATAACGTGTAAACGGCTATTTTAATTTTTCACCCCTCGAAGGTGACAGCTTTGAGAACACTACTCCTCTTTACATCAGCTTGATAGAGAGTTACGTGTGTGTGGGGGGGGGGGGGGTGTCAAGAACATATGACTGCGTTGACTTGGTGCAAGATGGACGAGTCTTGTATGCAAAAGAAGTGGAACTCCTCTGCTACCAAAATGGTTATTTAAAAGCTACAGATTCAGAAAAAAAGTATTATAATCCCATTGTCTTTGGCCATTTTCTTGAGGAGATTGTTTTTCCACATGGTTCGCACTTTTAGATTTTAAAAAAATGGGTACTCAAATAATGGAAATATTTACACCCTATTTTCTTATCTCCATACACGTAGTTGCAATTCTAACAATGTAATGCACCCTCCCCCAGAAGCACGGAAGAAAATAAAATTACTGACTTGAAAATATAAAAATACAAAATACGTAAATAAAAAGTTTGAATGATCACGGACAACCTTAATGTAAAAAAAAAAATGGAAGACAAAAAAGGCAAGGAATACGGAATAGGACGGGCTGAAAAACAGATACGACTGTTGTGATAAGCTTGCAAACTTTTGCAAAGTCAGCGGGATTGTTATTAACAGCAAATCAAAAGGAGTTACAGATTGCTGTCACCTGGGGCGACCAGAATGAAGAAACTCAGAAATGATCTCAAGAAAAGCTAAACCACGTGTGGACTGTGATACAAGTGGCAGAGCGAGTACGGAGTTCCGACTCGTGAATAATGTCCAAAAAGTGCGATGATAGGCTGATATTTCCAGAAAACAGCAGAGATAAAATTACGGAACGTCTAAAAATCACCACAACCAGACAGACAGACAGACAGACAGACAGACAGACAGACAGACAGACAGACAGACAGAGATTGAGAGAGAGAGAGGCAGGAGTTGGGAGGGAGGGAAAGAGAGACAGAGAGAGAGAGAAAGGGAAGGAGAGAGAGGGAGAGGGGATAGAGAGAGACAGAGACAGAGACAGAGGGGGGAGGGCTATGAGGGAGGGCAAGAGAGAGAGAGAGACAGAGATATATATATAGAGAGAGACAGACAGACAGAGAGAGAGAGAGAGAGAGAGAGAGAGGGAGAGAGAAAGAGAGAGAGAGAGAGAGAGAAATTGAATAAAGGACTTGTCATCATCATCATCATCTGGTGCCTTGCCGACTGGTGTGAGCGATCATGGAACTCCATTTCACTCTGTTTTGCGTTGCAGCAATAAAGTTCAAGTACAAGGTGGTAAAAACACCCCCACACACTTTTAAATCTTTCTCTGCTCTGAATGTCTCGCCCAAAAATTATTTGTACTAGAATGATGTAATTTAGACCAGTTATAATTCTTTCAAAAGAAATTAAATGACTAAATATTCATAAAGAATAATGACTTTTATTTCTAAAAACACAATAAATGGGCAGATACCTCCCAAAGCTTAATGGGCCATGGTGTTTTAATTTTGCTGCTTGTTGGTTTTCTGCCTAAAGAGTGAACAACCTTATTAGTACGTAACCCGTCCCTTCGACATGGACAACGCTGTCGACTTTCCAACTCGACTACCATGTTTGATCTAGATCCACAAGGAAAAAGAAAAGAAAAGGACGCGACTCAAACGATACGGTTGCGCACAATGGACCGCCGGGAATTACAACTACATGTATGTCCATGTATTGTTAGGCCGACGAAATATAACATGGGGTGCCCATTGGCACGAATAGGTCAGGTCTAGTCGGTTTTCTAGCCAGATTGAGGGCGCCATGCGGCTATCGCGGCACGAACCGATCGCCTGACTTGTCGCCTCAAAAACAAACGCATTTGTTTTCAGGAGACAAGTCGGGCAATAAACCCGACCCGATCCGATCCCAACTGCAATGGGCACCTGGTATAAGCAGGGCCGCCAGGCACAAAACTCCTATACGCCTCTGTGGCGTTTACAAGTTTGTATGCCCGACGGCCACAGTTGGAAAATAGGAGGGTTGTTCTTTTCATTTGTGTTTTAATGTTTTAATATGTACTAAAAATATT